CTATATTTTGTTATTCCGACTCACAAATGTCACTATGTGACAAATTTCAGGAATTTTTCTCTCCTTTTGACTGATTCCTATATGTTGTATGGGTGCCATAACTATCACTACAACATGTACAAAGTCAGCACATTCTAAGGGACGCCATCAAAAGACCAATGTAGGATAAAAAAAACTTAAATCAAATAGTTTGGGGGTGGGGGTGGGGTTAAAGTTGCTGCAAGTTTTGTTTATCCAAAATCGATTTTACATAAATCCATATTGGTCAATCAATCTTTCCCAAATTAAGTTAAGAGGGGGGGTGGGTGGGTCAGTGAAAAAACTATGTGATGTGAATTAAGTTTTTTATCCTACATTGAACTTTTGATGTCGTCCCTAATGACTTGACCTATTACAGTATTTCTGTCTGAATTTTGTATAAATATTCTGTATTTACTAATTTAACTACATGTATGTGATTGCAAGTGTATTAATTAGCTTTGTTTATTACTTATATTAAACTAAACCTCTATTAATCAATTATCCTTACTCTGGTTATTGATTATATAAGAAAAACTCTGCCTATTACTATATGACTGTAATCTAAACTCTGATTGTTAACATCCTGGATTGCATATCTGCATGACCATTAAACTCATGGTATGCCCATTTTATTTGAGGATATAAGTATTGTTTTTTCAATATAACATTTTCAGACACATTGAATCTGTGAAGACAACTTTCAATTTGACTTTAGAAATTAAATGTTGGGGAAATTTAATTATAATTAAGAATGTTTAAAATTAGTTAAGAAAAAAGCCGACATTATTAATGTTAACAAAATTTTGAGGAGAAAAAACATACAAATTCAGACTAAATATGGTAACTTTGTTGTCCTTCAAGAAGCCGTACATATAATCCATAATATTTTCACTGTTTTTTAAATACATGTAAAAGTTGAAAGATAACTATCTATTGATTTTTTTTTTAAATAGCTTTTTTCACAACACTTATAACTTTGTAATTTATGTTCCATTGTACACTTGTTATTCTTAATATCTTTAAAAATTGTTGTTTGGGAACAAAATCTTGTCAGAGTTTCTTATGGTACTAGCATGACAAGTGCATTCATATTCTAAAATACTCTAAACATTAAAAAAAGTCAGTATTTTCAGAACATTCTGAGTCTTTCTGACCTTATTAAGTCAGAACATTCAGACTTTTATAAGTCAGAACATTCTGACTTCCAATGTTCTTCTCACTTCTGTAGAAACAAAGACTATCTTTGTCTCAAATAAGAGGTAAATGCTTCATGTGGCTAAGCATCTGGGGTAAGAATTATAGATGTGTAATTTCAGAGGAAAACAAATATGCCAAAATTTTTTTTTTTATATACAGATTAGACCGTTGGTTTTTCCGTTTGAATGGTTTTACACTAGTAATTTTTTTAGGCCCTTTATAGCTTGCTGTTCGGTGTGAGCCAGTGCTCTGTGTTGAAGGCCGTACCTTGACCTATAATGGTTTACTTTTATAAATTGTAACTTGGATGGAGAGTTGTCTCATTGGCACTCATACCACATCTTCCTATATCCATGTAATTAATAAGATGTGATGCATGTGAGAGGAAAATAATACTGAATAGACAATTCTGTTTGCACAAACACTGATAAATATACATTTTGTAATATGTAAAGGTGGTCTCTCAGCAGATTAAAATAAACAAGAAATAATTGTAACAGGATGCTGTTGAGAAGTCTCCCAAACAAAGCTCCCATAATTCGTCATTCCCATGGTTGCCTGACATTGGGCAAGTTCCAGTACAAATTGGTTTTGTCTAGTAAAGTGATATGCATAAGTGACGCCTAGGGTTTGACCCTGCATGTCATTCAAATCTTCTTGAAATGGCGAACAGGAATATCATATGGTTTACCTTTAGGGGTGGTGATCCAGAACATTTCAAAAAGGGGGATGGGGATGACCCCAATGGACTTCCCCTATATTTCATTTGATTTGTTTTATTGTCCTGTGCGAGAATGTATATGGTTTAGGGGTGGGGATCTCGACCGTTTACAAGTTTTCAAACATGAGGGGGTGGCATGACCCTCAGGGGCTTCACCTTTATTTCATTTGATTTGTCTTATTGACCCTTACAAGAAAATATATGGTTAAGGGGTGGGGATCCGGACCGTTTACAAGTTTTCACACAGGAGGGGGTGGGGGTGACCCCAAGGGACTTCCCCTATATTTCATTTGATTTGTTTTATTGTCCTATTCAAGAAAATATATGGTTTAGGGGTGGGGATCTCGACCGTTTACAAGTTTTCAAACAGGAGGGGTAGGGGTGACCCCCAGGGACCTCCTCAACATATCATTTGATTTGTTAAATTGTCCCATACAAGAATATATATGGTTTAGGGGTGGGGATCTCTACCGTTTACAAAATATAAGAACATTTGCAAATGGCAGGGGGTGGGGGTAAACCTGGAGACTAGCCCGGTATATTTCATTCAAATCAATTTGACATTATAAAGAGGAATAGAGAAATGACAGGGATAGGGGTGATCCCTGGAGACTTGCCCTACATTTCATTTGATTTGTTTTATCATGTCCCATGATCATAAATGAAGACCAGGTGTGTGCATCACTTATTGTTCTCAAGTTATAACTTTAAAAATAAGAAAAAAAACCTTGGGTTCTTTAGTTAAACCCCTCCCTTCCTTTTTCTTTTATTAAAATTTTTCCCATTTTCGTTTCATTATCATCATATCAATATTCACAATGATCATTTTTCTCATAGGGAGAAACGAATCAGAAAGGTTAAAAAATTCGTAAGGGTTCCGCGGAACCCAGTGTCTCGCCTACTTTTTCTGTTAATCGCAGGCTAAACAAAAATGAGGAAGTAAATCAATAAAAAGATTCCTCTTGATACTATCTTTTGATTGTAAGAAGCTTCTGTTCAAGTTTGGTAAAATTCCAGGATAGTTTATGAATCTAATAAATGTTTAAAAACTTTAACTGCAGACTGAATGTAATGTTAACTGGAAGAAAACAAAATTTCCTTCTAGGTACTAGCATTTGATCATAAACAAGCTTCTGTCCAAGTTTGGTACAAATCCAAAATAGTATAAGAAAGTTATTAAAATTTTAAAAACTTTAACCACAGAGTGAATATGTTGTTTCCTGGCAGAAAATCTAAGTCCATTTAAAAGTAAAATACGGAAAAAATAGATTTATTTTTTTACAAAATTTCCTTTTAGATACTAGCTTTTGATCATAAACAAGCTTCTGTCCAAGTTTGGTACAAATCCAAAATAGTATAAGAAAGTTATTAAAATTTTAAAAACTTTAACCACAGAGTGAATATGTTGTTTCCTGGCAGAAAATCTAAGTCCATTTAAAAGTAAAATACGGAAAAAATAGATTTATTTTTTTACAAAATTTCCTTTTAGATACTAGCTTTTGATCATAAACAAGCTTCTGTCCAAGTTTGGTACAAATCCAAAATAGTATAAGAAAGTTATTAAAATTTTAAAAACTTTAACCACAGAGTGAATGTGTTGTTTCCTGGCAGAAAATCTAAGTCCATTTTAAAGTAAAATAAGGAAAAAAAATTAATTCTTTTTAATAAATTTGCTTCTAGAAACTCTTATGATCATAAACAAGCTTCTGTCCAAGTTTGGTACAAACCCAGGATAGTTTAAGAAAGTTATTAAAATTTTAAAAACTTTAACCACAGAGTGAATGTAATATTTACCGGCAGAAAAACTAAGTCCATTTATAAGTAAAATAAGGAAAAAATGGAATTTTATTTTTACAAAATTTACTTCTGGATACTATCTTATGATCATAAACAAGCTTCTGTCCAAGTTTGGTAGAAATCCAGGATAGTTTAAGAAAGTTATTAAAATTTCAAAAACTTTAACCACAGAGTGAATATTTGTGGACGCCGCCGACGACGACGACGCCGACGGAATGTAGGATCGCTATGTCTCGCTTTTTCGACTAAAGTCGAAGGCTCGACAAAAATCAATTCGTGATTGAGTTTAAAAATAGAAAAATCACGTGACGATGTTCAGCTCGAAGCAATAATTTTACTTTTTAAATTGAACTGACTGGTTAATAATGTTAATATTGTTTAAGACAACACGAGTTATCTCCCGAAAATAACAATTCATTATCATAACAACATTTTCTGACCTGAACAAGTCAGAATTGTCAAACACCAGGTCATCTCAAAGACCACGCGTCCGTATTTACAGGTCGCGCGCCTTCATGAAACAGCAAAAAAATAACTTGCAAGGAACTTCTTTATAGGCAAAAAATATAAAAATGCCCATGAAAATACGGAGGTAATATGAATTACCTTTCTAAAAATGCCCACAATGACCTAGATTTTCACTAAAAATCGTAAATAATCAATATAATATTCAATGGCTTCTCGTTCGAGACACTTCCAAAACAACGACTCTCAAACACGTGATCGCTTGCAAAAAACCACGTGATCGTATGTGTCGTAGATCGGCGGCAAATTCAAAATAACTTCTGGTTTGACGGACTCGAGTGAAAACTACGCAAAACAAAAATTGACGCGTACAGGTCAGAATTTCAAAACACTTTCTGACTTGAAGAAGTCATTTTATTCTGACTTGTTTATGTCAGAGCTCTGACTGTTATTCAAAAAATTGAGAAATAATATTGAATATTCACAAAATAAGTTCACATACCCTCTCAGTTTATATACTTGTTACAAGTCAGGAAAGTTGACAATGATAATTACTGTTACTTCAGGTTTTATATGTATTTAGGTTTTGGTTCAGGGTTTCCTTCCTATAAATTACAGAGTCGGTAGCTTGGGATCAAAAACAAATTTAACTACAACCTCGAAAAATTTGATATTTTTGCCAAATCCAATGCTGGTATGATACTCTTTAAACTAGCTAACTCTCGCCTATTTCATTTTGTTAATGAATACTCTAACCATATTAGTACTGAAAAGGCAATCTTACATAAAATCAACTCACATATAGTTTTGTTTCATCAAAAGTCTTTTTGATATCAAATCAGCTATACATCCTATGATAATGGCTAGTTGTATCCATGTACAGTTCATTAGAGTTCTGTCTAGGATTATCAGTGATGGTATATCTATATTACTTATGAGTTCTTTATAATCACTGTTTATTTCTTGAAGCCAACTACCACCTTGCTCTGTTGGAGTATTGTCTAACAAATTAGAATTACTTTGTACAACTATCATTAGGAGTAATGCCATAACAGATATTATCTTCATGATGTAGAAAGTTAGTTGTTTTTGATTTCCCTGGATCTGTGAAATAAAAAATCCATACTTTGATAAGGAACACATTACAACAGTTAATATACAGAAAATCCACAAAAACCAACACGAAAATCAGATATATTTCTATGGACAGTCAAAGCTCAGACATAACTGAGTAATGCTCTGCCCACTGCTCCTGACATAACTGAGTAGTTTTGCTTTTAGAATGATCTGCCAAATGTTAAGGTCATGGCAAAGAGTCTTAAATTATTCAAAGCTTATTTAGTTGCTTAAAAGTAAATTTGTGTATGCCGACACCTTTGTTTGTGTGTTATAATTTTAATCATCCTTAAGTTGGTATTTTCTTTTGGGGTGAAAACCTAAAAATATTTTGTCCAGTTTGATATAAATCAATTTACCAAAAGTCCACAATTTGAAATTTGTCAATAAAAATTAAAGACAATGTATGAAGTTTTGATCAATGCTGGTGCATAATATGATCAAGTATAAAGGTAATGTTTACCATGGTTACATGAACTGCACCAAAATCTTTTCATACTACTTGTCCAAAGACAAATATTCAGATATTTTCCTTATGAGCCTAAACAAAGTTTTGCAATAATTTACTTGTCCCAATAAAGTTTACTAGTTATTGCTAGTCTGGGGCATTAGACTTGTGGCTAACGGTACAGGCTAAGTTGTTGGTCAGAGAAACCAAAAACACACATTTTGACCCTTTTGACCTAAATAGTTATATATTTAATGTATTTCCTTACAAGTGGTATATTTTCTTTTTGTTCTTCCTCTTTATGACTATTCCTCTCCATATATTCAGCAGCCTTTTGTTGATGATACTGCACAACTTTCCTAGATAACAAGTGATCCTGTTTCTCAATTTCTCGATCAACCATCATTTGACAATTCACACATGTACCATAATTTTTCTCAATGTTTTCTTTGTGGATCATGAATTCATTATCATAATCATCCTACAAGTTAAATTCTTTGTAAAATCTAAGTATAAACACTAATAGCATGTACACACATATTTATTTACATCATTCTTTAAACGGTTTTGTCAAAATATCTATTTATTTGGCCTTTCAACTTTTTAGATTTGAGCATCACTGATGATTCTTTTGTAGACAAAATGGTGTGTCATGCGTACAAAATTATAAGCCTGGTATCTTTGATGAGGATATTTTACAATAATTTAATTTTGGATGTAACGCGTCTTCTGATTGGCTGACGTTGTTTTGTTTATCAGCTCATAGACATAATTTTGTCATGTGATCGTGACGTCATCAACGTTTTTTCATGGTTTACTCCGGTTTAAAATGGAATTTAGAATTAAATTATAAGAATTGACTGTAATATTTTTTCTGTCTATTTGAAATAACATAAAAAATGTGGTGCACACTTTAAAATAACCTGCTACGCGGGTTATTCAGTGTGCACCACATTTTTGATGTTATTTCTTCATAGACAGAAAAAATATTACAGTCATTCCTTTAAGAACAGACTTTGATTGCAATGTAATTGAAAAATTACCCTTATTCTTGAAGCGATCATATAACATGTGTATAAATGCATTAAATAAATCAATGTACAAAAATGTATTAACTCAGAATGGAAAAAATTTAAAGAATGTGAAGATATTGTTTGTAATTCAATTTTATTTACAGCTCATTCAGGCTTTTCTATTCATGCAATATATATTTTTACAAGTTCTAACTTTTCTGTTTTAATATATATAAAACCAGAAAAATTAGAACTTGTATAAATACTGTAGGGACATACCTAATGTATACAAGTTGATTTTGACAAATAGAAAAGAAAGATTATAAAACCATAATAAAAAAAAATATATTTATATACATTGCTGACACAAAATTGCTTTCCAATATTGTTTTCATACCCAATTTAAAGGACTGAATCCAGCCAAAAGCTTCACTTTAAGATGATTATTGCCATGGCATTTGACACAAAACTGTCGCCCCAGATTGCTTGCTGTAAGGAATTCTCCCTGCTGACAACCTACTACATTGTTGACGGAACTGTCATACATAGCTGGTATCTCTTTATTGTAATCACCATCCTGAAAAACATCAAAATATGATCATGTAATTACTACATCACATTATTTGTTTTAACTATTAGGCCTATATATAAAATTGAGAAGGGAAACGGGGAATGTGTCAAAGAGACAACAACCCAACCAAAGAGCAGAAAACAGCCCAAGGCCCAATGGGTCTTCAAAGCAGCCAGAAATATATATATTTGAAAAAGAAAAAACACAAAGAATTACATGAAATGAGGTGTCTCCCTTGTTTTACTATTACATGTTGACATTTTTTTCTTTTTAACATGTTTAATGAATGAACCACATGCTGAACACATGAACAACCTTCTCTGCTAAACATCAAACTAAAAGTTGCATGAATACGAATTTAAATGACTGCTTAAAGTGAAATATTATTTCTAAATTGCGCTTGTATGAATGTTTGAAATGACAAAAAAAATCATATTTTAATTTTTTGTCTAATTCATAGCTAATGCCCCTTTTAGACAAGATTTTTTTAAACCAAGAAACGAAAAAGTTTTTAATGTGTTTACGGTACCTCTTTTTTTTTAAAAAGTTTTTAATCATGTAAGCAATGTGTCAATATTGTTATAGATCTAGCTGTCAAAGATCCTGTTCACACTAGCATTTTTTGAATCGATCTAAATAAAACCAGTTAGTGTTCACATTATTTTAAAATTTTAATCCCAACGATCTCTTTCGTTCAAATCTGAACCACTGCGGTCACACTACAATTAAAAACGCAATCGATATGACCTAACTACCAAGTGACATTGTTAACACTGTGTATAGATACATTCAATCAAATTAATGTGTTGATACACACGCTTGTACAAAAATAATGGATGAAGTTATTGTTTCACTGGAATTACAAGTTCAAATGTTGATACCGCTATTCATATAGTTTTCGTTAATTTTCAGCCCTTTCATCTTGGTCATTCATTTTGTAATAAATTGCATGTGTAATTTTACCACCATTCATGCGCACAAATCATTTTCGATTCAATCGTAATAGTTAAGATTGATCTCTGCGTTCACATTAAATGTTTGATCGGTTCACTTTAGATCGATTCAAACTAAACTACCCTTTTTGGTGTTTTAGTTTAAACTGATTAAGGATAGATTCAATGTGTTAACATTGGGCTTAAATCAATCTAAAGTGAACCGATCTAGTTAAAATCGATCTAAATGTCCAAGTGTGAACAGGGTCAAATATTTACCTCAGTGAATCCATTATACTGATCACACTTCGAACAATCCCAGTTATTCTTCAGACCATATGGTACAGTGGAATCCACATTACAAAACCAACAATTCACCTTCACAGGAAACCTCTTCCTAAAATAATATATCAACACATCGTTATTCACAAATGAAGAAAAAGTTGTTCAAACTATAATTTAAACATTTTTGTTATATACAGTAAATACACGCAAATTGTATGTGCAATATATACAATCAATGACTTTGACACTGTGTCAGCCACCCGTGATGATATTGATATCAGTCACAGTCATGGTAGTTGCAAAGGCTTTATCAAAACCCTTATCTTTGTTATGCCATGTCATGTGAAAAAAGTCTACTTGAGATATATAATGAAGTGAATACAGCATGTACAACATATGTTTTTTTAGACAACATTTAGATAATACTATAAAGTAATAGTTATATATACATGTATACATTTGATAACCGTAACGTTAAGGGTAGAAAATATGCATCAGAGAAGATTATTGTATCATACATCATGCAGGTTTTGCAAGATGTCGCTTAGATGTTTTGGATATTATATTGAACAATAATGGTGCTTTTGAAACTCATCCAAAAAAGTCGAGGACTTTTTATTGTAAGAGTTATCTCCCCAAACACTGTTTTTCTTGTTATTGTATCTCCTCTGTAACAAAAGTTAATAACAAAATTCTTTTTTTTAATTGTTACTTACATCCTCAGGAATTTTTGGCTGGTTTGGATCGGAGCAATCCAGTGACATTTTATAGGAGTTATCTACCTTTACCAATTAAATTTGTCGTTATGTTTTTGAAATTCATAAATCGTAAGTCGTATTAACCTTGGAGGCTTGTAAATGAGCAGTGTTTTGAAGATAAGAGACAAATGAGATTTTCATTGTCCATAAAATTACACTTAAATGATTAGTAAAGACATCTGCAAAGGACAGCCAATTAAAAATTCTATTAGAGAAACAAGTCCTGAGAAATTAAAGAAAAGAAGATAGTATGACTTTTTTTACTTTAAGGGACATAACTAAGCCATTAAAATAATTTACCTATACAAGTAAATAAAATACAATTATATAAAAATAACATGTACAAGTAGTACCCCTGACTGACTGATTACTTTTTGATTACATTTTGATTAAAATGGAAAAAAACTTCTCAAATTGTGTTTATGTTCAATATATATCATGTCTTAAATGAACCTTTTTGTTATTCATATTTAATAAATATATAACTTGTTAAAATAGTTTTGTTTACTTTAAGCACGTTAAGATATTATAAAATACAATGTATGGATATGCAACTAATTTGATACTAACAAAATGTTATTATAATAAATTTTTTTAAAACTTGTTTTGTGAGGACATCATGGACATCATGCATTCATTATACATGTTGAAAGGTAGAAGTGACTTTTATATTCAATAAACCATGTATCATAGGTTCATATCAGCAGTGACTCTGACAAGTTTGAAAATCAGTGCGGATCAACTATATTTTAAAGCGTACTGCCATTTGAAAATATCAATTATATGAAAAATTGCACTGTAAGCACTCTCATGTATACAATTCTTGCCCGAGTTTTATCAAATTTATTCATGTATACAATTCTTACCAGAGTTTTATCAAAATTATATCAAAGTTTAACATCAGCATTACCTCTGACATATTCAAAATCTGTGTTGATCAACTCTTTTTTAAAAAGGGTCACACATTTGTGGATGTTTTATTACTGATGCCTTTATCTGGTATGGGGTCATGTGTATAAAAATAAAAATATGTGGTATGATTGCCAATGAGACAACTCTTCACCAAAGACCAAATGACATAAAAATTAGAAGCTAAAAACTATAGGTCACCATACAGTCTTCAATTATAAGAAAAACCCATATAACAGAGTCAGCTATAAACATGATAAAAGGCCCCGAAATGACAAATGTAAAACAATTCAAACAAGAAAAGAAACGGCCTGATTTGTGTACAAAACAATGAATGAAAACAAATATATGTATGCCGTTTTCTGCTCTTTGGTCGGGTTGTTGTCTCCTTGACATATTCCCCATTTGCATTTCCATTCTCAATTTTACGTATAATTTAACTTTAAGCCTCCTTTCATGAGTTATGGTGTAATGGAGGACATTTTAGCACTTACACTGTATTGGCACTGGCACAGATTTAATGTGCGCATTTTCCCACCCAGACTTACTTGGAACCAGAAAGTTTTGATATATATGATACAGCAAGAAATGACAACCACTAAATTACAGGCTCCTGACTTTAACACAATACACATCATAAAAGTATTTGTAAATTACCTTAATTTCAAACAAATGATCAGCAGAGTCAGTAATACCGGTACTGCACCAAAAAATATAGAAACATGATAAGTTGTTTGAGACATATCCATGCTGTCGGCAAACAGGGGAATGTAAGTAAGGGGGAAGGATATCAACACGACCATGACGACTCTCAACAGGAAGTAATCTGTAATCTGTTATATAAATTCTGCCAATGTAGGCACACCTCTTCCGAGTATTCTAGTTCACAACATGAATACAAATTTCTTCCACAAATATCACTGTACAATATTTACATCATATTCTTGGCGATAAACAGGCTTAATTTCAGTTTCAATAAGCAGTACCAACACTTTTTAATACTGTGGTGCCGTTGGATGATTGATACACCGCTTTAGCGGTTCTCCAATATAGGAGGAATATGATATATGAAACCGGGAACCAGACAAGCCTAAACCTCGCTCTCTATATGATGGGAAAACGGATAGAAGGAACAGACCAAAAACAAGGAACCAGACAGGAACCAGGCAGAGCCTCACTTCTATTTTCCAAGCTTCAAGCAAGACAGTTCGCTTTCTCTAAGACTGCAGAGTTGTGTTATAATAAGCTTATTCTAGGAGAACTTGAGTCAGATATTCAGGTAATATTGCATTACACGCCCAACCATAATCGCTACATTGGTGTCGGATGTAAAAACATCTGAAACCGCAAAAAATACCTGAAATTGTCATTAGAATTTCGTGCGAGTTTTCGCGGGGAAATTGTAAAATTTATCGGATTTGAATTTTGAGTTTCTCGCGATTTATAATTCGATACAATACATATTTATGTCCCAATACACATAAAACAATTATTGTTTTGCTCCACTGTAGTTATATAAACAGTGAAGTGAAGTTTGTTGCACTTTTTCAATATATATTTGAAACAGTGAAGGGAGACAACTGTGTTGTTTACAATTTGCACAGTATATATAAATCAAATATGTTTCTTATGAGTTAGAATATTAACTTTAAGAAGTTGTGCAGTTAAAATAAATACATTTTAACAGTATTTGTGTGATAGTAAACAGAAATTTATATAAACTAAATAAAATAAAACCACACACAAGCTTGAACTGTTACATGTATGAAAATTTTTCATTATTGAATATTGGTCAATAAACCGGACAACTGGTATTGACTTTTCAATAATTCATACATGAATATATTTCAATTTACTGAAATTTGGTACGATTCGAGTCAATAAACCGGACAACTGGTATTGACTATTAAACAATTTATTAAAAAAAAAAAAAAAAAAGGGACAAAAACAAAACAAACAAACACACACAAACCGTCATTTTCATTTGTAATACATATTCCGGATAAGCTGGATAAATGTATTGATACAATAAAATTTATGATTGGTAAATTATTACGTCAAGCTTTGATCCTTAGAAAATTTCGTAATTCTACCACCATAGTCGTTGATAGTTTGTGATTTTGCTATATTTATAACATTTTTACATATTGATTTTTCTACATATATATTTCAATAAAGAATTTTCATATACAAATTGCATATTATTGTACGTGTACTGATATTACATTTAAAAGTTTGTTTCTTTTGACAAAATAGTTATACATATACATACATTTTTATTTTTTTTTGTATGTGTTAATACCGGATTAACTGGTTTTGATACAATTAATCTTGAATTGTCTGTTTAGTTCTTATATATTTTTTTTTTTTTTTTTTTTTTTTTGTGCGTGTCTTATTCCGGATTAACTGGTTTCGATGCATTCATTCTAAAATTGTTCATTAATTTCAAGTATAAGGAAATTAGAATAAAAAGATAAGTTAAATAAATTCAAGAAAATTTGAACAATTCTTATTGGTAATACTAAATAATTTTTATTAGATTTTTGATATTTGGTAATTTTTTCTTTTAGATATTTATATTTCAAGAGGTAAACTATAATTTTTAATATAGAGGTTTATTTGTACTATTTATTGTACACTTGTTAATTTTTATTGTGGAACTATTTATCTGTTCATATCTCAATATGGCGATGAAACAAACGGTAAATATTAATACGGCGGATATTTAGGAATTGATGACTTTAAAAGATATTGGACAAAAAAGAGCTCAATTAATCGTGACTGAAAGGACTAAATTAGGAACCTTAACAGCAGAGACACTTAAAGCCATAGAGGGAATACCAAGTAATATCTGGGACCCATTTATTTATATGGGAAGGGTTGTATTCGAAGAACAACTTGATACTAAAGATACTGAAAAAGAAAAAAATGTCCAGCCAGAGAATCAACAAGTGACTGCACAGTACGAAGAACTAGTTACAAAACAACAAGATCAACTTCAGCAACAAGAAAAAGTTATTGAAGATTATAAGACTAAGTTAATGATCGCTGATCAAGATAAGAAATCAATGCAACAAGATATAAAAAAACAGTTATCAGATATACAGAGCCAATGCAGTGCACAGCTTACAGCCAAGACTGAAGAATTGGAAGAAGTGTTGGACTCCATGCAGAAATCTAAAAACAAATTGGAACAAGAGCTACATTATGTTAAAATGGAAGAACGCCAGCGAGGTGATAAACTTGAATCGACACTGGAAAGTGAAAGAAAAGAATTTGAATAACATTTAATAGACATGCAACATAAAATGAATACGGAAATGGTCCAAAAAAATCAAGAACTTGAAAAGTCATTTTATCAGTTGAAGTCAGAGAGGGAAATGCTTATGAATAAAGTTGAGGAACAAGCTAAACTTATTGATAGCGGCAGAGAAAAAATCAAAAGTCAACAGAAGGATCTTGAATTGAAAGATCAACAATATGCCACCAAGGTCCAGAAATTAGAAGATGAATATAAAACAAAAACATTTTCAAAGTTGGTAGAAACAACAGGAAATCTTGCACCAGATAACATCTATAAATCCAAAATCACTTCAAGGATCGATGAGAATAAATCAGCGGTCAAGATGGAAGAAAATCAATCAAGCGTGTCAGCAGTAAAGAGTACACCTAAAACTACACTAGATGAACGTACTAGTTCCAGATATAGAAATGAAGGTCCAATAGCGCCAAAACTAGCAACATTTGACGGTAAGAGCGAGTGGAAACCTTATTATTTACAGTTCATACACATTGCCAACAAGTACAACTGGGATACACAGCAAAAGTTGGATAAACTTATTGAGTGTTTAAGAGACAAAGCTCTAAATTTTTTTAGTACCAGACCACCATCAATACAAACTGATTTTAAATTACTGTCAGATAAACTTAACCAGAGGTTTGGTAACAAGGATCTTCCATACACAATACGCCGACAGTTACAAGATGTGAGACAGAATGGTGATGAAATGATTGATGAGTTTGCTGAACGAGTGCAAGAGATGGCAACAGATGGCTATATAGACACACCTGAACATGTTGTTGAGACAATTTCTGTCGACGCATTCTTGAAAGGTTGTACTGATAAAAAAGCAGCATTACTAGCCATGGAGAAAAATCCTACCAGAATGGACCAGGCTCTTCAGTTTGTTAAGAGTTCAATACATAATCAGAGAGTGCTACTTGGTTACAAGAAGAGTGATGTAAGGAGAGTACAGTTCGAAAAATATGACCAGGATGACTCAGATGGTGAGTCAGAGATAGCAGTAAGAGTTGTAAATAAAAAACCAAACTATGTACCTTGGCAGGAAACTATTGAAAAGCGTGTCCTAAAAACTGAACAGGATATAACGGGAATTAACAACAATGTAGGAAAAATATTGAAGATACTGGAATCCAGAAGCAATGATAATAGGAGACCTAGATCACCATCACCAAACAGAAGTCCAGCACGAACAGTCACTTGCTACACTTGTAATCAAGAGGGACACTACAGTAATCAGTGTGAAAATAAGAGTAATAGTTCATCTCCAATGAGAAGGAATAGGTCACCATCACCTATTAATTCCAAACCAAATGTTCATTTAAACGAGCAAGGATCGAAGAAGTAGGCCAGTCTTCGATCCATCCAGATAACACAGGCCAACCACCTCCATCTCCACATGAAAATTCTGTAAATTATGCCGGACTAACTGGCACTTACAGAAATGGAAGTTGTGAAAAAAATAAAGAATTAAATATTGCCAATTTGGGTGAAAATAAACCTGTGGACACAATAGGAATAACTAGTCAAGAAAAGTCTTCAACGTTTACAAGTCAGCATGAAAAACCTAATGTATGCAAAGCCGGATTAACTGGCGCATGCAAACAAAACTCTGAAGGTTTAAAAATTTCTGAAGTTTCAGTCAACGACTCCTATGGGTCAACGGTAGCAGCAAGCTTAATATTGAATGTGAAAATAAATGGTGTTGATGTGGATGCTGTGGTGGATACAGCTGCACAGGTCACAATTATCACTGAAAAATTTATGAAGAAATTACAGCCACCATTAGAACTTAAGTCGTCCGTTACATTAAAAGGAGCTGGAGCTGAGAACAAAATAAAGGCAAGCTATGCTAATAGAGTGTCTATTAGGATTGGCAAAACTGAGACAAAATGGCAAATTATAGTTGCAGATATTACAGATTCTGTTTTATTAGGTTTAGATATTTTACAACATCTAAAAGCTGTGATAGACTTGGCAAATTACACAGTGAAAATTACAATCAGACCTTACATGCATCAGCAGTGAAGTCCAACAACAAAGAAATGAAAGTTTGCAGAGTTAGTTTAAATCAAAATGTGATTATTCCGTCTATGACTGCTATTGAATTATCTGCAATGTTAGAGGGAACGGTTAATAGTGATATATGCATTCAACCCAATCAGAAATTAAACGGAATAATAATGCCTTACATTGTAACGACACCTGACAAAACAGTACCAATTACAATCAGAAACTTGACAGACAAGAATATTTCTTTAAGAAAAGGTACTAGTCTTGGAACAGCTGTGGAGATTGATGAAGTTTTAGAAAATCACAACCCGGAACAGAATTCAATCACAGCTCGCCAAATAAGTAAAGACGGGAACCACTCTGAGAAAACAGAAGAGATATGTCAAAATATGCCAGAAAATTTGAAAGATTTATTTGAAAGGTCAAAAGAGAATCTCAATGAAA